CCCAGGGCGCCATGTCCCCCTTCCCGACGCCCGCGTCCCCCCCGCAATTCCCGCGGCGGCTCCGGTTTCCCCCGGCCCCGATTCCCGCTCCATTATTCATGGGCCGCTTGATCCCCGCCGAAACCCGAGGCCGCAATCTGGGCCCCGGCGTCCGGGACACGGGATACCCGGCTGATATTTCATCCCCGCCATCAAACTTTGATGGGATAACGGGAGCGGGGAGGGGGCCCTTCCGGATCGACAACGGAGACGGGAATTATTTATAATGGCGGCTTTTATTTTTATAAACACGAAACACTGGGAGCCGGTGGCCAAATTCCCACCGCTGTCCAACGGGATCCGCCCAGCGCTCCCGTTTTCCGGGCTTTTTGGGGGGGAATAAAACCAACCTTGGGGATTTTGGGGGAAAAACAGGGGAGGAAAGAGAAAAGGGGGGGTTTTTTTCCCCCTGGCTTTGGAAACAGAACAGATCCGGGCGCTTTCCGAAGCGGCCGTCACGCGTCGATCTTCTCCAGCTCATCCATGTCATCGGGGTCCAACCGCTTGATCTCCGTCTCTGCGGAAAAGGCGACGCTCCCGCATGGGTTTATCCCTTTTTTTTCCCCACGTTTTTCCTCGGAAAAGCGGGATTCACTCACGGAAGTGCTCCTCGATGAGGCGCACCAGGTGCAGGTTGCGGCGCTCCACCATGTTGAAGGCGATGCCCTTCTTGCCGAAGCGCCCGGCGCGGCCGATGCGGTGCAGGTAGGTCTCGAAATCCGGCTCCTTGCTCCACGTGCCGGGGAGGTTGAAGTTCACCACGATGGTCACTTGCTTCACGTCGATCCCTACGGGAAAAGGGGGAAAAAAAAAACCCAAAAAAAGCCAAAAAAGAGGGGGGGAAAAGGGTGGAAATCGGGTGGGGAGCGGAGATACCCCTGGCGCAGACGTTGGTGGTGACCAGGACCTTCTCCTTGCCGTCGCGGAAGCGCTGGATCACGTCGGCGCGTTGCTCCACGGTGAGCTCGGCCGTGAGCATGGCCACGCGGTGCCCGTCGTCCGTCATGGCCAGCGAGAGCCACTCGGCCAGTTTGCGCGGCTGGACGGGGCACACGTGAGCCGGAGCCCCCGGAACGCGCGGGATTCCCGGGAAACCGCCGCGTTATCCCGAACTGGGGGTGAGGAAGGCACCCACCTGGCAGAAGATGATGGCCTGGCCGATGGTGATGCTGCCGTAGATGTTGCAGAGGGCCCGGTACTTGTCGAGGCGGCTCTCGCACACGAAGTAGTACTGGCGCACGGCGCCCAGCGTGAGCTCCTCCTGCCGCAGCTTGATGACGATGGGGTTGGCCACGAGCTGCGTGGCGAACTGCCACACGGCCTTCTTGAAGGTGGCCGAGAAGAGCAGCAGCTGGCACTCGCGGGGCAGCACCCTGGGGCGAAACGGGTGCCATTCCATGGGGGAAAACACCGGGAAAACGGGGTCCGCGCGGGCGGGCGCTCACCGCTGGATGCGGATGCTCTGGCTGGAGAAGCCCTGCGTGTCGATCATGATGTCGGCCTCGTCCAGCACGAAGACGCTGATCTTCTTGAGGTCGAGCAGGCGCCGCTTGAAGCACCAGTCGAGGACGGTGCCCGGGGTGCCGATGACGATCTGCTCCTTGGGCCGCGTGCCCGGCGCCACTGCGGCGTCGTTAACCGGGAGCGCTAATTAGCGACGGCCGCCACCCTATACCTACCCGCAGCCACTGCCCGCTTCCCCTATACACCCTGCCCTTCATTATTATTATTATCATTATAGCCTATATCCAGTTAGCGTTTAGCCTATCTTCCCCCAACTATTATACATGATTTTATTATTGCTATTATCATATTATTATTCCTATTATTATTTAGTGCTATCCCACATTCATTTAGCCTATACCCAGATAGCGTTTAGCTTATATTCCCCCACTATTATACATTATTTTATTATTGCTATTATTTTATTATTATTTAGTGTTATCCCATAATCATTTAGTCTATACCCAGCTAGCGTTTAGCCTATATTCCCCCACTATTATATATTATTGCTATTATTATTATTTTATTATTATTACTGTTATTATTTAGTGTAATCCCACATTCATTTAGTCTATATCCAGTTAGCGTTTAGCCTATCTTCCCCCAACTATTATACATGATTTTATTATTGCTATTATCATATTATTATTCCTATTATTATTTAGTGCTATCCCACATTCATTTAGCCTATACCCAGCTAGCGTTTAGCTTATATTCCCCCACTATTATACATTATTTTATTATTGCTATTATTATTATTATTTAGTGTTATCCCATAATCATTTAGCCTATACCCAGCTAGCGTTTAGCCTATATTCCCCCACTATTATACGTTATTATTGCTATTATTATAATATTATTATTATTACTGTTATTATTTAGTGTAATCCCATTCATTTAGCCTATATCCAGCTAGCGTTTAGCTTATATTCCCCCACTATTATACATTATTATTGCTATTATATTATTATTACTATTACTATTATTATTTAGTGTTATGCTATATTCATTTAGCCTATATCCAGTTAGCGTTTAGCCTATACTCCCCCACTATCATACATTATTTTATTATTGCTATTATTATCATATTATTATTTTTAGTGTTATCCCACGTTCATTTAGCTATATCCAGCTAGCGTTTAGCCTATATCCCCCCCTATTATACACTATTTTATTATTGCTACTTTATTATACATTATTTTATTATTGCTATACCCTATACTAGTGTTACCCTCTATTCCTATCCTACATTCAGCTTTTAGCCTATATTCAGGTGGTGTTTAGCCTATATTCTAGCATTATTATATAGTATTTTCTTCTTCTATAGGGTTGTCCTGTGTTCACGTGGGAGTTTAGCCTATATTTGGCTCGTGTTTACCCCCCATTCCCCCATTACTATATATTATTATTCTCATTCCATAGCGTTATCCTATGCATTTAGCCCATATTCCAGTGTTATTGCATATATGATCACCCTATAGCGTCCTCCTATACCGAGCCAGCGCTTGCTGCTCATGTAGGGTTTCGCCTATATCATAGCATTTTTATATAGGGAATTATTAAGTTACGGGGTCTATACGTGGCGGGGGACTCACGGCGGTTGCCCTGCACGGCGAAGGTGACCTTGACGTCGGCGCAGAACTGGCCCATGCGCTCCACCACGCGCCCGATCTGCAGCGCCAGCTCGAACGTGGGCGCCAGGCACAGGCACTGGGAAGCGGAGGGGACAAGGACACCGAAACGGGGCCGTTAAGGGGATATTCGGGAATATTTGGGACGCGGTGAGCGGGACGGCCGCGTCCCCGGTACCTGCGGGTAGCAGCGGGCCGCGTTGACCCGGCTCAGCATGGCCAACACGAAGGCCGCCGTCTTGCCCGTGCCCGACTGGCTCTGGGCAATGAGGTTCTGGGGCCTGGCGGGGAGAGGGTGACGATGGTGACGGGGAGCACGGCGCCGTCGCGGGCTGGGGACGGGGACACCCACGGGTGCGCCAGCATCATGGGCAGCGCCGTCTCCTGGATCTTGGAGGGCCGGTTGAAGCCCATGTGGTAGATGCCGCGGAGCAGCTCCTTCTTCCTGCCGAGAGGGAGCCGGGAGGAGGAGGGAAGCGGGAAGCGGAGCGGAGGGATGCGGCGGCCGGGGCGGGGGGACACTCACAGCGGCAGCTCCTCGAAGGTCTTGACGGAGAAGAGGGGCGACGCGGGGTCGCGCTGCAGCACCTCCACGTGCTGGCTGCTCTCCACCAGCGACGTGCGGATGAGCTTGTTGAGGAGGGAGCTCTCGGCCGAGGCCACTGCGGCGCCGCGGGGACGAAGACGAGGAGGAGGAGGGTTGGGGGGGGACCGAGCGGTGCCTGTTACGGACCCTCCGCAACTGCCAGGGCTGTGGACAGGCTGCACTCACCTTTCTCCTCTTCCTCCTCCTCATCGTCATCGTCGCTGGCGCGCTCTGGTTCTTGTAGCAGGAGGGAGGGGACAGTGCTGAGGGCTGGGGAACACTGAGGTGGGGGCCGAATGGGGCAGGGGGACAGGGCTTGCACGGGCCAAGGCATCAAGTCTACTGTGAGAGAAGGGGGGCACAAGTCCTGGAGTGGGACAACACGTCTACCAAGGGACGAAGAAAGTTCTACCAGTGGACAGGCCAACACGTCTACCCCCGATCGGGATAACAGGTCTACCCTGAAACAGGGCCTCAATGGCGCGGGGCAACACGTCTACCCACAGACGGGATAACAGGTCTACCCCGCAACCAGCGGCTCAATGGAATGGGGCAGCACATCTACCCCAGACCGGGGGAGCAGGTCTGCCCAGGCACAGCACCTCGGTGGGACGGGCCACCACGTCTACCCCAGCACAGGG